GAGCCCTTTGGCATCTACAGAGTCACGACTGCGGCCAGGTCTCAGCTGGGCTGGCTGCGTGAGCGGGTGCCCCATCCGCACGAGTGGATTCACATCCCTGCTCTCCCACGGAACCCTACCCGGCTCCCCGCCAGCCCTGGCTCCCTCCGGCGGGAGGGACGACGCTCACGGGGGATATTTCTCCCGGCAGCGGAAAACAAGCTGGATTCCTTCAGCCCCGTGGCCACCGAGAGCGTCAAGAAGGAGATCATCGCGGCGGCGCGCGACGGCTGCGAGGTTTATTTCTCGCGCCTCTTCCCTGCCACGGTGAGGGGCAGCGCGCGGGGCGGGCCTGAGCGCGGGTGGCACCGCGGCCCGGCCAACGCGCTGGGCCGTCCCGCAGGGCAGCGTGGGCACCGGCGTGCAGATCCTGGCCGGGTCCCACGCCGGCATCAAGCTGCTGCGCCTGGTGAAGGGCACCAACATGCCCGGCGAGCAGCTGCGCGTGCTGCGGGGCTACAGGTAGGGTGGCGGGGATGCGGCTTTTCCCAAGGGAATAGCAGGGAGGGGGCTGCAGTAGCTACTCTAGCAGTGCGGTAGACCTGGAGATGTGTTTTTGGTGCTGTTGAGGGGGTAGGTACCATGCACGTGTCCTGCTGGGGATACGGCCCCATGGGTACGTGAGATGCTGCGTGCAGCGCTAGGGCATGAATTGCTGCCTGCAGCTTGCCCCTGCTCTGCTCTGGGGTCCCCCAAACCCGGGTGAAGGTGCCCCCAAGCCCCCGACGCCCACCCTGTGTGGGTCTGCAGGGGAGCTCGCGCTGGGCGCTGCGGCGCGGGCTGGCGCCGGGGTGCGTAACCCTCCGCTCGCCCTGCCCCAGCTACGCCGACGTGCTCTTCGTGACCACCCCGTCCAGGAACATGCTGGAGTTCAACCTGAGCAGCGAGAAGCTCATCCTCTTCTCCCCGAAGGCGCCCCAGGTCAAGGCCATGGTCGACCACTTCATCACGGAGCTCAGGAAGGTGGGAGAGCCCCGGGGCCGGGTGGCAGCTGCGCTGGCACAGCCAGGGGAATGTCCCCAAGGCCACGTCCTGTGCCCATGGTGGGCTGTGGAGGATGTCCTGCAAATGGGACCAGGCCTGGGGCTGGCAGGGCTTGGTGTGAGGGTGGTACCCTGGCATGGTTGTGTGGCCATGGGTGCTTGGAACCCCATGGCGCATGGCGTGCAAGCATGTCTGCATGCATGCTTCTGCATGTGTGTGCACGCATGTGCATGCTTCTGCATGCTTCTGCATGTGTGTGCACACATGTGCATGCTTCTGCATGCTTCTGCATGTGTGTGCATGCACGTGCATGCTTCTACATGCGGGTGCATGCATACCAGCCCGCCCTGTGCCCAGGACTCCCAGTATGTGGTGGCCGTGAGGAACTACAGCCCAGAGGACAGGGGCCAGCTGAGCTTCCACAAAGGGGACATCATCCACCTGCAGTCGCTGGAGCAGCCCGAGAGAGGTGAGTGTCCCCCAGGGGGGACATGCTCTTCCCGCCTCCACCCCTGGTCACCCGTTCCCAGCATCCCGCCACAGGGAGCTCCCTGGATTAGCCGGGAGGAGCCGTGTCCTCCTCGCATGCTGGCAGCAGGGCTGATGCCCTGGCTAGCGCTGGGGACAGCTGCCCGTGTGTCAGGCTCATCCTCAGGACAC